TGCTGCTGTGTGCCCGGTGCGCTGCGCTGTGCGGATTGCCGCAGCAGACGCACACCCTCCAGCCCCAGGCTCTGGCTGAGCCAGGTGGCCACCTCATCGCCGCAGTCGTAGCCCTCGATGGCCTGGCGACAGACCTTGCTGTGGCAGCGCGCCGAGTTGGCAGCCTGAACGCTCAGCGAGAGTGGCATGCTGCAGGACGTCTCCGCGTAGTGCAGCTCCAGTTGATCACCCACAATGCGTGGCTGTATCAGGCACAGATCCGTGCAGCGTTTCTGGGTCAGCGCCATGCCATTCATATCGACGATCATCCACTCGCGATCGTACTGCAATCCCTGCTTCGTCAGAGGCCAGCTGCCTGTGGAGCTGTCTATCTTGAAGGCAGCACAGGACTTCACTGGGTAAATGGCCAGCTGGAGGAGACGTGGACGCAAACGTTGGGCCCGCTGCTGCAGCGCCTTGGGCAGCAGCTCCGCCTGCTGCTCTATGAAGCTGAAGCGCTGCTGTGGCTTCGCGATCACCAGATAGCTGTTGCGCAGCATCTGGAGGAATCGATCAACGTCCTGAATGCGCGTCATGTAGCCGAAGGAAACGCGCACGGCGCCCGTCGGCTGTCCATCCAACAGATCGAAGTAGTCGCCACAGATGCGCCCGGCGCGCTTGTAAATCGCATCCATCGTCTCGTCATTCAACTGCAAAAAGTGCTGGCAGGCGCCCACGTTGCAGAAGCAGCCGGTGCGCAGCAGGATGCGATGCAGTGCCGCCATGCAGGCGACCTCGCCGAAACCCACATAGTCCCCAGTGTTGGTGCGCACATTGAAGGCAACGGTGCCGCCCTGTTTGGCCCGATCCTCGTAGCCGGCGTGGTTATATAGCGTGATGAGCGGCGCACCATTTGGATGCTTTAGCTGCTTCAGCTGGTGCTCACAGTAGCGTGCCAGGCCATGGACATGCCGTGAGATGCGCTCGATGCTGCGACCCGGCACCAGCCGCTCCAGCGTGCGAAAGCCCTGCAGCAGCTCCACGATGGACAGGAATGGCAGTGTGCCGTCCTCGAAGCGCTCGTGGAATACGTTGCGCAGCTGATGCTCCATGGTGTGGGGATAAGCATAGTTAATGGTGCCGCCGCCATAGAATCGCTTGCGCAGCACCTCTGCGCCACGTCGGCTCACCAGCAAACCGCCGACACCCGTTGGATAGCCAAAGATCTTGTAGAAGCTGACGCAAACGAAGTCCGGACGGAAGCGCTGCAGGTCTAGTGGGCTGCTGGCGGCAAAGGCAGCCGCATCCAGGCAGACGTAATAGTTGCTATCGACGTTTTTCGCTGCTGGCTGAGACTCTGCACTCCAGATGCATTTGCCCAGTTGCTGCAGGCCGCGCTTTTGTATCTGCTCAATGACAGTCAGAGGCATCTTGTAGCCGCTGAAGTTGCACTGCGCCGAAAAGGTGACCAGAGAATTGGCCTGTGCCGTGGCAGCTGCAGCTGGAGCTGGAGTGGAGGGCTGATCCAGTACATTCAGCTCAATGTCGTCCTTGGTGAGCATATAGATGCCTTTGGCCTTGACCAACTGGCGCATGCCCAGCACTGAGGTGTGATTCTCCTGGCAGTAGTGAAAGTTGCCATCGCCGGCGAAATCAAAGTGATCGGCCACCAGACGCAGTGCAGCCGTTGCATTGGCCGTGAACACAACATGATAATCATCGGCGTTCGTATTGAAGAACTCAAGAATTCTACGAAAGATAACAGTATTATCAAATCAACTGCAATTGGCCACAATAACAACCTTACCTGTAGCGCACCTGATCCACATAGTCGCCGGTGGCGCGACAGGTGTGCGGATTGCAAATAACATCGCGCTGCAGTTGCTGCGCCGCGCTCAACACTTGGCTCTCGGCATAGAGTGTTGTGCCCGCATGATCAAGGTAGGTGCTCTCTGGTATGAGAAGTGCATGACGTATCATTCAATGGGTTTCTTATCAGTGCCACTATTTCGCCATTCCTTCTCTACTCACCCCCCAGTCTAGCGAACTCTTTGTCAATGAGCGCCTGCTCTTCAGCTGTAAACTCGGCTGTGTACTCGACCATTATTGCGCACTCAACTGCGGCTCCAGCGTTATTTATGGCTGCAATTTGAGAGTTAGCACAGCAACCGGTAATTATAGAGATGTTTCTCGATAGTTATATTTCAAAAAAGCGATCACTGTGTATCGCCATAAAACAAAATAGTACATATCGATAAGTTACAGCACAATACCATTCATATCGATGAGTTACAGAATAACATCGATACGTTACCCAAAATGAACATTTTTAAAATAATATAAATTATAAAATGGTCAAAAAAATTTCTTAATCAATAATAATTTTAAGTAAACACATGACTTTAAAGAATGAAAAAGAAATTTTTGTTACTTTGAAAAAATAAATAATATTTAAAATAATTTTAAATATATTTTTTAATAAATAATAATTTAATATATTATCAGTTTCAATTATAAGTGCTGGAAAACACCTAAAAGTATCAGCGCGCTATCGATAACAAGCAGCTGCTTTCGCCTTACTGCAAACACAATCGCAAGCCATACGCATTGTGTTTTCACTGTTGTGTTTTTATTTTTCACAAACGTTTAAAGTTTCGGCTGCCAAACATGCCCAAGGAAAAATCGCGACATCGTAGTCGCAGTCGAAGTCGCAGCAGGCACAAGAAAAGCTCACATTCGCACAGCTCTAAGCACAAGCACAAAAGCAACAGCGATCGGCGTCGGGACAGATCCACAAGTGGATTGGAGCGTGGTCGAGAAAAGGAACGAGAACGAGATCGAGAAAGGAAGCGAGAAAGAGATCGGGACTCAGACAAAAGTCATCACAAGCGTAAGGAGAAGCGCAGCAGAAGTCGACATCGTAGCTCGAAACGGGATAAGAATCACAAGGAGCATCGTGCACGTTCGTCCTCATCCTCCAGCTCATCCACGTCCACATCATCGTCGTCGTCGTCATCGGCAGCGAAGCACAAAGATCAAAGTGCAGGCGGCAAACCGGCAGCCAAACGCGGCACTGAAATGAATTCCATAAAGTTGCTGCAATCGTTGGAGGAGCGTCGATTGCGCGATCAGCAGGAGCGCCAGCGGCTGAAAGAGGAGATCAAGGCGAAGGAGACGCCTGAGGAGAAGCGGGCGCGTCGGCTGCGCGAGAAGCAAGCCAAGGAGCAGCGGCGCCGCCAGCGCATGGGCTGGGACAACGAATACCAGACGTATTCCAATGAGGACAATCCCTTCGGAGACTCCAATCTGACCTCCACCTTCCACTGGGGCAAGAAGCTCGAGGTCGAGGGCCTGTCCAATCTGTCTAGCAAGACGGTGGAGGTGCTGTCGCTCCAAAAACAGCTGGAGAATCGTCGCGAGCTGGAGAAAGTCAAGAAGCTGCGGCAGGAGCGTGAACTGGAGCGGCAGGCGCGCGAGGATGAAGCCATGCAGCAGCAGCGCGCCAAGGAGGCTGTCCAGTTCCGCGAATGGCAGCGCCAGGAGGACCTGTTCCATCTGGAGCAGGCGCGTCTGCGCAGCGAGATTCGTATCCGTGATGGCCGCGCCAAACCCATCGATCTGCTGGCCCAATATGTGACCGCCAGCAATACAGAGACGGACCTGGAGGAGACCCTGGAGATGCAAATGCACGAGCCGTACATGTTGCTGCACGGCCTGAGCATCGAAGAGCTGGAGGATCTGCTGGTGGACATCAAAGTGTACGAGGAGTTGGAGCAGGGCAAGCACATTGACTTCTGGAACGACATGGTCACCATTGTCCAGGACGAGCTCAAGAAGCAGATGAAGATCCAGCAGAACGAGGCGAACTCGCTCAATCAACGGCGCGACGGCATCCACCAGAGCGTCGTCAAGGATGTGGCGGATATCTTTAGGGGCAAGAACGCCAAGCAGCTGGAGGAGATGCGCCAGCGCATCGAGGCCAAGATTAGCAGCCGTGCCGACGGCGTGGACATCAGCTACTGGGAGAGCCTGCTCTCGCAGCTGAAGGCGCACATGGCGCGTGCCCGGCTGCGCGACGCTCACCAGGTGCTGCTGCGGGAGAAGCTGCAGCAGCTGAAGCGCGAACCCGATCCTCCCACTGTGGTGGAGATTAATTCACCCTCGACGATGAAACAGGAATCGGATCAAGAGATGGACACAAATGCCGGGGAGGAGCAACAAATGGATCAGGAGTCGCCCGACGAGGAGGAAGACCCCAACGCTGAAAATCCGCTCAGGGAGCTGGAACGCGCCTGTGAATTGTACAGACAGGGCAACTACAGTCCCAACTACATACGCGAGGAGGACTTCAGCGGTCGCCGGCTGACCGCCGCCGATGAGGACAACATCGATGGCGGCCTCTATACGGGCAGCGACGATGAGGAGCGTGTGCAACGCCAGCGGCTGCTCTTCGTTTATCCGGAGCGCGGAACGGATGTGGCGGAGCTGACGCCGCAGGAGCTGCGTATGCGCGGCGAGGCACGCAAGGGCATGCAGGGCGACGAGGCCGAGTTCAGCGTGGAGACCACACTGGACTCAGTGCCTCAGCTGGCCACCGACAAGTATCGTCCCCGCAAGCCGCGCTACTTCAATCGCGTCCACACGGGCTTCGAGTGGAACAAATACAATCAGACGCACTACGACATGGACAATCCGCCGCCCAAGATTGTGCAGGGCTACAAGTTCAACATCTTCTATCCGGATCTCATGGACAAATCGCAGACGCCGCAATACTTCCTCACGCCCTGTGCGGACAATGGGGACTTTGCGGTGCTGCGCTTCCACACGGGGCCGCCGTACGAGGATATCGCCTTCAAGATCGTCAACCGGGAGTGGGAGTTCAGCTACAAGCGGGGATTCCGTTGCCAGTTCCACAACAACATCTTCCAGCTGTGGTTCCACTTCAAGCGCTATCGCTACAGGCGCTAGACGGTCCACTTTATTTGCAGTCCTCTTTTTTTTGTAATGATAATAAAATAAAATATTTTCTAGAATATTTATTTATTTGGTGTTTAATATGTTGGTTGCTTGGCTTCTCTACATGATGCTGCAGTCCTTGATCGGCGCCTGCTGCACTGGCTGCAGCGGCTCGCCGCGCTCAGCGCGCTGCACCTGGGCGAGCACGCTTTGGTGCTGGGGAAAGGCCAGGCTGGCCAGCTTCGAGTGCACCAGCTGATCGTCGATGGTCACCTCAAAGGCGCCGCGTCGTCCCTGGTGGCAGGAGACCTGCACCCCAGGCGCTGCATCCACCAGAAATTGTCGCAGCAGCTGGCATTGCAGCGAGAAGTTACAGGTTCCACTGTGAATACATATACATATACATATACATTCATATATATATATTTGTTTGATCCAAATTAATTATCTTTGCAGCTAACCAGTATTCTACATCCACATTGACCATTGCACAACCATAAACAAACCGCCGAATAGGGATATTCCTCCTATTGAACTGCAAATAATCAACAAAAATAAAAAAGTCAAAAGGATATTCCTCTCTGTAAATAATATTTATATAAGAAAGGTTCAAATAAAAATCATAAGTTAACTTGCATAAAATGGTAAATTAAAATCCACAGTGGCTGTGCCTATATTGAACTATTCAAATTTAGCTTCAAGTTGATTTTATATATTTAAAATCAATTTATTACATCTGATTTAAATACTCTGTAACTTATTCACACAAATATCTGATTTTATACGTTAGAAAATGAAACCCTTGTTCACATATTCAATTCATAGTTATGCGATAAACCCGTTGTTTATAAATAAACACTTTATGTTTATTTGAAAATAAATTTGAAATAGTTTTTTAAGTAAAGAATAAAATTAACTAGTTACGTCAAAGGAACAAAATATAATTTTATTTTCATTTCATAAATGCGTCAGCCTACTTATAGAACAGCAGATAAAGCAAGGGAATGCCTTTCATACGAAATATCGTTTAAATTTGCTAGTATCGATATTTTACTCATAGCTAAACATTTTCACAGCTATCGAATTCTAGAGATGTGAGCTTCTCAGCCTTTATTAGCGCGCGCACGCAGCAATGTTTTACAGGCGGCATTGTGTGTCTTCAGCGGCAGCTCATCTGCAAAGCAGGAGAGGATTAGACAGTGGTTAAATTGAGTTTCTTTAAATTGCTTACAGATCTTCGGCTCGCCCTTCACTGGTAACAACACCGGCAACTGCTCCGGTCTGGAGCACACGAAAACATAGGGACTGTCGGATTCGCCCTCGGGATAGAGCTCACGATATTCCTCCTGGGGCAAACAGCTCTCCACATTTACGCAGCCCAACAGGCTGCTGGTGGGATAATGTGTGGGAAACTTTATATTCTCGTCTGAAAGAAACGTGAATTGCATTATTTGTGCTGTTCTCATCGAGCTTAGCCCAATACCCACCCTTGTAGAGCTCGCGATAGAATTGCTCCAATTGTGCTATGTCCTCGGCATGCGGCTCCTTGGCCGTCGAGGCGATCCACAGGCGGCCGCGATGCTCACTGTACCAGACGCGACCCTCGTGTCTGAAAGGGCAATCAGATTATTATTATATATACAAATAATATATATGAATATATAGAACTCCAATACTTTTTTATGCCGGCCACTAGTAGCGATGCCCATGGCTGATGCATGGAGAGGCATTGGCGCATGTCCTGCATTTCGAGCAGCTCCTTATCCTGCACTCGATTGTAGATGCGCTCCAGTCCGTCACCGATGATCGGGGCGGGCATATTCTGGAGCTCCTTGCTGGCCTTGAAGACGGGCGGCTTGGTCACGTCCAGATTTGGCGCTAGTCCCAGAGAGGAATGACCAGTTAGTCCCTGGCTCTGGCCCTGCGATGCAGCCTTGCTGGCCGCAGCCAGCTGGCGCAGCACCAGCTGCTCATACTCAGTGGTAACCGGTGGCTCCTCGGGCAAATTGCGGCCAGCAAAGTCCACCTTGATTTTGCGCTTGAGCCGACTGCCGTGCTTCATCTCGTGCATTTCGCTCTTTAGCTGCTCGAATTTCTCGCGCTCGGCATCGGTCAGCCAGACGGAGTTCTCCTGGAAGTAGTCCAGCTCATCATCGATGACAGTTGTGCGCTTCTCGCTGTTACGATCGTATTCCAGCAGACGATCCCGTTGCTCCAGCGCTTGTTGCAATTCCTTATTGGACTTGGCAGATGCTTTTTGTTGTTGCTGCTGCTGTTGCTTTCTCTGCGCCTTCGTCTGGCCCTTGGTGCTCGCCCGATTTGAGGCCGCCGCCTTTGCCATCTGCTGCTCCTCCTCGGCAGTGTAGACGGGCTCGCCGCAGTAGAGGCACGGTCCGCTTCCTTCCTGCTCGCACACAATGCGCCCGCAGCCCAAGCAGTTGTTGATCAGCTGGTGCTCGGTTACCTGGCAATCACAGCTGCGCCGGCCCTTCAGCAGCACGCTGTTGCCCACGATTTTGCCATCGCCGGAATACAGATTGACATGTTTGTTCTGTTTCTTGGCTGCGCCACTGCTGGCTTTTTGAACAGGTGGGGAATTGAAGGTGGGCGGCGATTTCTTTTTGTTATTGCTGCGGGGCTGTTTGCCGCTGAGTAGCATGTGGCGGCAGTTATGCAGAAACAAGCGATGCTCCTCGACGTCTTCGCACAATAGATTGCCAAAGTAGTTGTCGAACTCCTCATCATTTTTGATGGCCAAAATGGTGCTGGAATTCGAAAATACGAAATTAGATGGGTTCAATGCAACCACTACGCTACACCCACGCCATCATTTCTTTCGTAACCACACAATCCAGGCATTTCGACAACGTTTCACCCAGCCACTTTTCCATTATTGCTGATGAAATACAAACCAAAACACAAATGAACAATTCAGAGTATGAACAGTGCCGAGTATGACTATCGATTAGCTATCGATAAGCTATCGCGGCTTAACATTTCAAAATGATAAATAATTAATTAACATTTGTGCCAATAAAAATAAGAAATGTTAAAAAATAAAACAATAAAGTTAAAGTCTGTTAAATATATATTGATTTACTGTGAAATGCAGGATAGAAATGTAAATTAAAAACTGAACGTGACAATCGTGACTGGAAGCAGTGTTGGTTACGGCCTTTATGGCCAGATGATACTACAAAGATACGGCAACGCTATGACAACAAAAATATGCGAAATGCAAGTATAAAACAAAATACAATAAATATTCGTGAGAGGAATGAAAACATTTTAAACGCTCTACCGCTCCCATTCGTGTTATGCTACTGCTTCCACTGTGATCTAATGTATAATAAATTTAATACTGTGCAAGTTTACGTTAAATAGTAACTTAAGATAAAGACGCGTTGTGTTTATTTAATTGGTTTGTCTCTCTCACTAGTGTCTATGTGTTTGTGTGCGTGTGTGTATGTTTAATATTTGTTGTAAACAACAAAATATAGCGCCAGGCTATAACAAAAAACTGCGGCTGCTTTTTGTATTTCTTGTGTCGTTGTTCAAATAGAAAGCGCTGCCGACACACAGCACCATTAACTGCGGCCACAAAAACAACAGCAACAACAGCAAGAGTATTTGCAAAAAATCAAAGCAGACGTCGGAAACAGCAGAGAGAGAGAGGAGTCGGAGAGTGGGTACGGCATCAAAGTCTTTGTCCAGACAGTTTAAGCAGCAGCATCAGCCGCCGCAGCAGCCACCCCAATTTTTATACTCATTCTGACAGCTGTAAGATTTGTCACACGCCCCGTTACTGAGGGAAGCTCTTCGCTTCATTGGTGCTCTTAGTACGGTTAATTTACGCTAACGGTATTCTGTAATAACCAAGCGCCGCTAACATTGCTGTTGCTGATTGCAAATTGTGTGCGTCGCCGTCAGCCAACCACGCTCGGGCTATCACACACACACACACGCACATACACACACACTCTCTCTCTGTCTTTTCTCTTCATTTGCTCATATAGGAGCCCCATACGCCACGCCGCGGCTGACGTTTGTCGTACTTTGTAAAGCGACAGCGTTGCGTTTATAGTTTCGACGCGCTCGACTCTGTATTTGTTAGTAATTTTTGTTTTTTTTTAAATTGTATTGAAAAGTTTTCCGCCTGCGCTACGTGTCATATGAGTTGCCAAAAATAGCCAAGTAATAGAAAACAAACAAAAATTAAGGAGCGACTGAACAAAAATGCAGCAACATTACTAAAAAGAATATATATATAATAAAAATACAAATTCAAATTAAATTCAAAAGAAAAGAAAAAGTATCGTGCCCGTGTTTACGTCGGTGTGTGTTCGTGCCAGTTTTTTTTTTTTTCATGTGCGTGAATGTGTTGTGAAGCCGGCATAACATCAGTGCAGTGAAACAGCTGAGAGAGCTAGCGACGGGCACACACACACACACACACTCGTGCAATAGCAACTGCAATAATAAGAAGAACAAGGAGAACGAACACTCACACAAAGGAACGAAAATGTATCGAATCGGTCCAATTGGACGCAAATCAAACTTCCATTCGCGCGAGAAATGTCTGATTGGACTCGTGCTGGCGACTCTGTGCTTCCTATGCTTCGGCGGAATTTTCCTGCTGCCAGATAACTTTGGCAGCGAGCGCGTACTGCTCGTCTACAAGCACTTCCAGAAGGCCGGTCCGGAGATTTTCATACCGGCTCCACCGCTGGCCGCGCATGCGCCACGCGACGAGGATCCCCATTTCATAGGCGATCGCCAGCGACTGCAGCAAAAGATTAGCGCCGAGCTGGGCGATCTGCTGGACGAACCGCAGGCGGCGGGCGGTGATGCGATCGCCCAGGCGCCAGCGCCGTTGCCGGCTGCCCAGCAGGAGCAGCCCCTCGAGCAGGATGCGGCGCTAGATGCGGCTCGTGCGCCACCTCGAGTCTCACTGCCAGCAGCACCAGCCGCAGCAGCGGACCACACAACCAACAACAACAACAATCAGCTCGTGACCGAGCAGCAGCTCAAGTTGCCCATGGGCTTGGCCAAGGATCTGCCGGGCGACACTAACGAATTGCGAGAGAAACGTGAGAAAATTAAAGAGGTGAGTTCAAATATCCACAAAAATAAATTAAATTGCACAAAAACTAAATTAATAAACGTGTAAAGCACGCACGCCCCCCGCCCCTTTTGCCACATACTGATAAGCGCGTTTCTCTCTTCAGATCTTATGTAAGATTTACTATATGCTCTATAATTGTACTATTATATACACACATGTACCAATAACTATATGTTCTCTATAATCTCTCGCTTCTAAAAAAAAAAAGTTTATTTGCTTTTTTTTTGCGCTCGCGTGTCATAAGCTTCCTCTTCTGTTCCACGTCTGTGGACTTCCGTCACTAGCAGAGCTAATGCTGACGGATGCTGCCACGGCGATAACTCATTGATGTAAACAAATTCTTATTAGACTTTGTCGCTAACTGCTGCTGCTGCTGCTGTGCCGCCTCCAAAGAGAGAGAGAGAGAGTGAGAGAGAGGGGCGTGCGTTGGCTGCTGGCATATTGCGGTAAACGCGAAGAGTTAAGCTTCGGCCTTGCGTACAGAAGCGTGCCAAGCACTAGAGAGACGAAGATAGAATGAAGAAAAGAGGAATGGTGAGCTGGGTAGGTGAAGAGAAGAAGAGGTAGAGAGGAATGGAGAGTAAAAGTGTTTTCAATAGCAACAAAAGTTGACATTGCTCATCGAGCTACACCTTAACGAATTGCATTGTATGTGGCATATACACATACACATACATATGTGTGTATGTGTGTCTGTTAATGAATATGTACACACATATGTACATGTGTATGAACAGGCAATATATTAGTATTTTATCTAAGGCTTCACTAATTGAAATGATTAAAGCGTGCACTGCTGCGCCACTTAGCCATGTAAGAACTGATATGAATGTATTCGAAATGAGAATTCTGGGTACGATGGATATGTGATAGTGTATGTAACAGGCACAGAGAGAGAGAGAAAGGGAGGGAGTGAGAGAGAGAGATGGGTCCTTCAGTCTTTCTGTATATTCCTGTATACCATAGGCAGCAGGAGTTCCTTTGTTCGTCCGTCCAACTGTTCGTCCGATTGAACGCAATGATCTCGTTAACCAGAAGAGCTAGAGATTTGAAATTTATATTTTATTTCATATTATTATTTTATTTTTTTATTATTATTTTATTTTTTTTTTTTTTTTAATTTTATTTTTTTTACAAGTTAACTCATTTCTCTATCGATAATTTGGTCAATAATTCATTCCATTTCCATTGATCAGTTGATCGATAATTTATACTATTTCCTTATTATCAATAATAATGTACTATTTGATCAAAAATCGTATGCCATTTTCTTATTAGCGTTAAATATCGATTATTTAAATTTGTTTCTTAATTAAAAATTGATTGTCACAAAAAAGGAAACTCTTCCTGTATTGAATTATCATTTTTATGAATATAAGGATTTGTGGATACCTACCCCCGTTCCCCTAAATTGGAAAAAGTAACGTAATTCAGTAAAAACTAAGGAATTCGACTTCTAAATTATAATGTAATAAATTTACAGCTTTTTTGATAACTCAATATAACTCAATAAGATATCAACATATGTTATATACAATGTATATATACATATATAATTTCTTGAATTGACTTTTTTACTAAGTCACAGAAAGCCGACAGTCACTGATACAGTTGCTGATAAAAGTGTAATACAAATTTGTAATAAGTCATTCTGTTCGATGGCTTTTAGGAAATGGGCGTACCCTAGAGCCCATTTGGAAACTTAAGACAAGCCAGTCGTACTTCCTCTGGGCACATTATCTATTTCTTCTCTTCTCTTTTCGTTTTGTATTTCTATATGCTTTCACTTTGTTGCTCATACTCTGTTTCTTCTTCTTTGTTACCACTATTACCACTTGGGTTCTTTACTATCTCCATTTTTATTTTGATTTTTTTGCTTGTTATGTTATTCCACTGACCCAGTATTTTAGGCGCTAAACTCTATTAAGTAAGACAAGATAGAAACTGATTCTGCAGCAATAACAAGAATACCAAATGCGAAGATCGCGAGCATAGCAAAAATAACGCGTTTACGTAGGTACAGTTTTACAGGGTATAAATGGAGTTGTCTGAGTGATAGACTGCGCAGAACTTCCATTTGACATATACAAATCTGTTTAAAGGGGAAATAAATATGTAAAATTAAAAATTAAAAAAGCAGAGATATTAAACAAAAATACAAATTTGTTTTTTTTTTTTTTTTACCAAAATCGTATTAAAAATCAGTGTTTAATTTTTAACTTTATTAAATACAAAAATAGTTTCGATTGCCTAATATGGTTTAGAAACAACTAACTATAAGTAGTAAAAATCAGCATAAATTTGGTATTTATATCCAGTTACAGGGTATTTCATAGGTACTACTGGAGTACTACAATTGTAGCCATTCTTTGTTTTGCTCTTGCGTTCGCACACTCCATGTTCCAGCACTGAGCGTTGTCGCAATACAGGTAAAAAAAAAAAAAGGTATTCATTAAAAGTGCTTGTCTGTGGCTTTTAATACTCATTGTAAATTAGAATTCTCGGTATATTGGTTAGTCGCAATGTATGGCAGATGGAGTCGTAGCAATACAAATATAATTCAATGAAATATAACTTATCTGTATGGCAATCTCGTTTCAAAAAGTTGAATGAGAACAAAATTTCTTCTACAATATATTTCTCAGAGTAATCAGAGAAATATATAAGTGTGCGTAAACTTGTATTATTCACAATGAAATATGTGTACAGTGATGACAATAGCTGCTCACTACCGTGTTTTGGGGTATATTCTAGTCGAGCACTTTTACTTGTTTACTTAATGAATCTGTCTATCAGATCTTCAGCTTCTCTCGATGTATGAAGACTCGTTTATCAAAGCGTTTTCGTAACAAGATTTTAGTTGTTTGCTCAGGTTTCGCTTTCTAATAGACGTGGCGGAGTCAATCCAGTTGTCGGCCTTGCTCCAGGCTATTTATTCATTTACCCTCTCAAACGCTCTCTCTCTCAGTCTGAGTTTCTTTAATTTGCGATAAAGTTTTTACAGTTAAACAGCTTTAAAGGTTGTCTTAATCAGCAATGTGATTATTGATTTCCAAGTAGTATTAGATCCTAACTTGAAATTTCTGTTTCCTGTCTAGTTGGCAAATAGTATTCTAGTCAAATATCTATATTGACTATATTTTTTTTAGATTCCAAACTCTGCGATTTACTCCGAACTGAATTCAAACTTCAGCTTGGAGCTTAAAGCAATTCGTAGCTGATCCCAATTAAATATAGAGTCTACTTACGACATTTTTTATACTGGCAATTGGGAATAGATTAATTCTCCTATCGATAACCTAAAATAGTCTAATCCAATCCAATCCAATCCGCCTCTTTGGGGGCGTGGCATATCTAAAAATATCCTTTAATTTGCGCATATTTTCATCGTCCTAATTGTACAGTTGCCTTACTCGCGGCTCCTTTTAAGAACTGGTCAAAAATGTTTGGTCCACGCCCACCGGGGCGTGACAAAAACGGCGCCCAGCTGCGAAATTCTTATGCGTGTGTCAACTACACATAAGTTTAATAGACATTGATAAGATAGAAGGAAACATTAGAAACATGAAAAATATAAATTAAATTATAGAGATAAAAATCTTTGAGTAAAAATCAATTTTCAGCGAGATTCGGAGTCGCACTTCTAATAGCAATGTCTGCCAAAATTAAAAGAGATAAAAAACACTCAACATCGGCGGGATTCGAGCACGTGTAATGTGCACCGTCTCTGCATCGCACTCTTAAACAATAACTAACACGAAACCAAAGACGATTCAAGCGTAATTGAGATTCTTGAAATTACCTGCAATACTCATTTGCACATGCATAAAGCAGGCATACTTGAAGTTTTTTATTCACACATACAAATATAAGCATTTGTATGTTTATACAATAAATACTTAAACAAATGTTCGACTAGAAAAACAAATATTTAAGCTCGCATCGTTCCAATAAAATCGCTTATTCATAGAAAGAATTGACATGAATCGAACATTGGCTAGATTAGAACCTGCGCTATCCTTGCAGCGCCTTTACCCTCAACGCCACTGCACTACTCGATCAGACGTACTCGATCAGATCGTAGCTAAAATGAAATCAATTTATTGTTTAATTTTGCTAAATTGTCATCGGACGAATTCAATTTTAATTCGTTTTATATATAGAAAATTTGGAGAGTTCAGCTCTAAAAATATACGAAATATAAACGGGAATAGTTATTGATGATTTCACATTTCTAATGGGTTCAGGCTTTGAAATTCATATAATAGGCTTTACAGTCTAAAATCAATTAGATATGACGGAATTTAGGGAATGTGAATGAGTATTCTGCAGTCGGTAACGCTCGAATGCAACTTTCTGGCTTTTTATATCTTGCTTGCAGTGAAAATGGCCTAAAACTAATTGAGTTTGGTATAGATTTTCATTTAAATTTTTTTTTTTTTTTTAAAGATATCTCTAATTGATTTTTAATGTTTTCGCTTTGAGATCTTTCACACATTGACAGTTCGCTCTCTCGCTCTCTCTGTATCAGGTTTCTTCCATCTCCATATGGCCGATAAAACTATACAATTAGCATTATTTGTTGTTCTCATGAAAATGTGGGCAAGACATATTCGAGCTAAACCAGAACCAGTTGGTCACGATCCGCGAATTGATTGTTAGCACGTGAATAATTATTTATATTTCTCACACATTTCTGTTAAAGTTTTACTGTTATGGCAGGTAAACAATTGTACAAACTAATAAGAAAATTAATATAATACAACGGCATCAATTTTCATATTGGCATTATTCAGTAATTGATTTTCAGTTAGTTGGAAACAGATATACATATCATAAATATTAATATAAATAGGAAATTATATTTAATTCATTAATGTATATCTGTATATAAGATATGCATATGCGATCCCTTATAAATTTCTATAGTTTCTGAAATTTAATCATTAAATTTTCTATTCAACAAAGCTGATAAAAAAGCT